AAGAATAGAATAGAATAGAATAGAATAGAATAGAATAGAATAGAATATAGAAGGGAAGGGAAGGGAAGAGAATATAGAATATGGAATGGAATAGAATATAGAATAGAATAGAATAGAATCGAATAGAACCGAATAGAATAGAATAGAATATTAGAATAGAAATAGAATAGAATAGAATAGAACAGAATAGAATAGAATAGAATAGAATAGAATAGAATGTAGAAGGGAAGAGAATATAGAATATGGAATGGAATAGAATATAGAATAGAATAGAATAGAATAGAATAGAATAGAATAGAATAGAATAGAATAGAATAGAATAGAATAGAATAGAATAGAAATAGAAATAGAAAATAGAATAGATTTATTGGCCAAGTGTGATTGGACACACCAGGAATTTGTCTTCGGTGCAAATGCTCTCAGTGTCCATAAAAGAAAAGATTCATTCGTCAGGAGTCGAGAATCATAACATACAACACTTAATATAATAATACTCACAGGGTACAACAAGCCATCAAATCCTACTAGGAAACAGCCCATATCAATCGTGAGGATACAAGCACCAAGGTTTCACTCCTACGGTCACAAGCGGGAGGGGAGGGGCGATAAGGAGGGATGAGAGAAGGTGGAGAGTCATAGTAGTGCCGACTTAGCCACGAGTTGGACAGCGCGGAGGGAACGATTGGTTTAGCCGAGGGAGGGCGTTGCGAGGAACAAACCCTCCTTGCGTCGAGTTGTTCCGGTGCGCGGCGTTCTCTTGAGGGTGGGAGTCGAACCCATTTACGTCCAGGTGGGGAGGAGTGTGTAAATATTTTTCCCGGCCCTCTTTTTGGACTCGGGGGGGCAGCGTACGGGTCCTCCGTGAAAGGCAGCTTGGGAGTCATGGGGTTTTTTGACTCTTCGGAGTCTGTGTCTGTCCTGTTGGGTGGCAGAGCCAAAGCGGACAGTGACGGAGGTGCAAGGGGAAGGACTCCGTAGAACTGAATCCGCCGCTCTCTTGGGCCATTCCTCGACACCAATTCCTTCTTTTGGGGGAGGGAGGGTGGAAACCCCCTCCCTCCCCCCCGTGGGGAGACCCTGCACCCTGCTCCGTGGCGGTAAAGGCCCCCCTTGCTTTTCAGGGGACGACGACCTGTTTGTCAACCCCAAGGCGCTGACCGACTACCTCCGCCGGAGCCCCAACGCCTCCCGCTTCATCCACGGCAACATCCAGCATGCCTCGGCGGTCATGAGGAGGGGCAAGTACGCCGTCCCGCGGGAGCTCTACCCCCTGGACTACTACCCCAACTTTGCCTCCGGAGGCGGGTTCATCATGCCGCGGCAGAGGCTGCCGGCCCTCCACCGAGCCTCCCTGGCGCTGCCCGTCTTCCCCCTGGACGACGTCTACCTGGGCTTCCTGGCCCTGTTGGCCCAGATCCCCCACCGGCACGACCAGGCCTTCAAGGTCTGGGGCATCCCCAAGGACGAGCTCCCGGCCTACCGGGAGGCCATTTCCATCCACGGGGTCAGCCTGGAGAGGATGGAGGAGGTCTGGAAGCAGCTGGAGGAGCCTCCGAAGGAGACCTGGGCCTGGTCTTAAGGGGTCGCGGCCCCTTGGTCGAGTCGGACTCTGAGGGAGAGAAGGAACAGCCGACGGGGAGTAAGAGGGGGTTGTGGAGGAGGCTGGGGAGGGGCAGAGGCCGTCTGGGCGGTCCGAGGAAGAACCAGGCCCATCCCCTCGTCTCTCTAGGACAGGAATGGAGAAGGGAGCAACATGGCTTGAAAGAGAGGAAGCGGCCCTGATCCCCCTCATTAGTTGCAGCCGGGGAGA